ACACACACACACACACACGCACGCACACACACTCCTGAATAACTACACGAGCTCACTAACAATTACTGTTACTGTTAATGTCACGTTCACTCACTTCGATGCCTGAATCCAGTCGTCATACAGGTCAAAGGTCAGCAGGGGTTCGGGCAGCTCACGCAGGTATGATTTCAGAGCACCTGCGCAGCACACACACACACACACACACACACACACACTCGTTTTAATTTTGTCAGCTATTTTAAATTTTAGTCTTAGTCCCGTGTTAAATGTCCTTGTTAGTTTTTATCATATTTAGTCAACCTTATCCTATTTAGTTTTAGTCAAGTTTTAGTCGACTAAAAGTCTCAACATTTTAGTCCAAGAAAACCTGAAGTATTTTAGTCTAGTTTTAAAACTTTCAAAAACTAGTTCTTGAAAACTTGACATTTTAGCAATAAGTTTATTATTAATTAACCGTACAGCAGTATTAATTTTTTATTTAGTCTTAGTCTTACTCAAATGTACATTTTAGTTTTCATATTTAGGTCAACGAAATATATGAGCGTTTTAGTCAGATTTTAGTCAATGAAATCTCAGTCATATTTTTGTCATGTTGTATAACTGATAAAAATTATTTTTGCTCAAAATTATAATCATAATGATTGTTGTCATTTGAGAAATGTACTTTTGCATTTCAGGCATTGCACTATCACCAGTAAACACAAATCAATAGAATGTGGACTCATGGTGTATTTTACCTCATCTAGTGTACTGATTTATTATAGGCTTTTTATTATATAAATTAACACCACAGACTTATGCACTCTCTCTGTCTACATTATGAAAACTGCTAAAACAAACAAAAAATATTATAACAGTGAAATTCCAAGTAATTCAAAATCGCAATAGACTATGATTCTCTATTAAAACAACAGCGGTTGAGTAAGTGCATTTATTCAGCAAGCAATACAGTCGAGATCTCATGGCAGAACACAGACCGGCTGAGTGACGCTTTCATTAGATCGCTAAACTCAAGCTTGTTTGTTGCTGTTTTCAGATCATCTGCGGCGCATGGTTGCCAGATTGCTTAAAATAAGCAAAACACCGGGCAGAGAATGTATCAATGTAACAGCGAAGCTCTGATTCGGGGATTAGAACTCTTGATATCTGGCAACCGCACTCATGAAAGTGTAGAGCAGTTCGCAATAACATTTTGTAAAATAAAAAGAGGTTTTTGGTAAAGTTTTTATGTTTTTGAATTAAGCCTGGGCGATAAAACGGTATTGATATTTATCGACGGTACACCTTCTTCGATAACGATATAAAAAATGTTCGATATAGTGCACGATATAAGCACGTGCTACGAGTGACGCAGACAGCACACACAAACACAAACATGAGTGCTGTGCTGCCTGTGATGAGGAGATCGTGAGTAAAGAATGAATATTAGTCGAATTTAAAAAAACACTTGCATTTGAATGCAAAAATAGTACAATCCAATGTTAGATGTGCATCTGGGAGCGTCATTAGTGGAGCACGAGATGCTGTGATGATGATGTAAGTGAAGTTGTAGTTTAATGTTTTGTTAGTTTAGCCCACGAGACGCGCCGCTGCTGCGTTATTCATTCACAATATTAGAGAAATATAGAAGCTCAAGGCGGAGAAGATCTTGATTAGGTTAAAACCGAAACAAGCCATTCACACAGAACGCATATTCAGCGCATTTTTAGACGGACAAATATGAGTGCTGCACTCGCGTCTCACACAAGAGAGTAGAGTTTAAACTTTTAGAAAACACGTCATGAATTTGTGGAGGTTTATTCCTTTTCACTGTGTCTCGTATGTGTTTAAATGCAATCTGTGTGAATGGCGCTTCGGCTCTTTGTATTAAGCAATGCATAAATACGTGATGCTGTTTTGTTCATAATTGTTTATGCAATTTACGAAATTATATTTGATTTATATGAGTTAATTTAGATGTAATGCACGTTTTTTATAGACTTAAACATTTAAAATGTGCTGCATTATTTTGCTCAAGGCGCCCTCCTGTGGCCTCGGGAGACAAGACAAAAGTTTAACCTATTTAATCTGCATATAAAACATTAGAAATTAGATATTTGTTTAATTTTTATTGTGTTTGACTGTTAAAACAAAAAATATTTGTTGTTTGCCTCAATAAATTGTGTTAATTTAAAAATACAGTGGTTAAATGTAAAAATTTTTTCTATTGCTCTTTGTTTTAAAAAAGGTTATAAAAAATGTCAATAATTATAGATACCAAACGATATGAAACATTATATAGTTGATACATTTTTTAGCTATAAAAAATAGCTAAAAGTAGCTAGCCCTACGTTATAATAAACGATCTGTATGGTATTTTGAGCTGAAATTTCACAGGAGAGCCATAAGAATAATATTATATCTTGTAAAAGGGGCATAATAGGTGCCCTTTAATCAGCAGGGATGCATTAAATTGATCAAAAGTGACAATAAAGACATTTATAGTGTTACAAAAAAATTATATTTCAAATAAATGCTGTTTTTTTTTTTTTAGCTTTCAATTCATCAAATA